CAGCCACTGAAGAAGCAATCGAAACCTTTAGATACAAAAATTCTGATTGTTCCACCAATGCAACCCGCACCAATCCTTACTAGAAATTATCATTATTGCCGTACTGGCGGTGAGAGTCTACACAATTTCCTGTCACACTCAGTTTCTAATGCCGCTCATTATTAACGTCTGTAATATCTTCTTTGCGTAGGCCATATGCCGCCGCCGACAAATAAGGAAATGATGAATAACATCGGTAAAGTGAGTTAGAGGCGCATTATCTTAGAGCCGAATCTTGCAGACAGCTCACAAATCTACAGCCGTCACTTTCAGCAGTAATTAACTTGCTAATTCGCGAACATATGTCTCCGATATGACGTATATTACTGCAGCTTTTGAGCTCGACGAGCAGCCATAAACAGCAATTAGAGAAAATGTCAGCTGGGAAAAGATGTATCGGAATTGTGACCGTAGAGTAGCTGGAAACATGTGAGTTTCTAACACAGGCCCATTCAAAGTCGAGCGAAAATTGCAAAAGTTTTCCTTTCGTGGTGGCTTATCTAAGTCCAGGGGAACTCGAATTGTCTTCCAAAGCAGCGAGCAACAGCCCGTTCATCTCCAAAAAGCAGAGCTTGAAAAACGCGATATTTCTTGCTGGGTGCCTGCAAATAATAACGAGGCATTAAATTGGAAGCCATCCGTGCACTCAAGGAACGTTCCCAGACATCTGAAGCAGCAGAAACCTTTGTAGATCTTCAATGGGATTATCCAGGAAGAGGTCCATTTCTATCGCAAACACCGCTTAGCGCACAAGCTTCAACTTCTTCTCCTGCAAACACTGCGGCACACATTTGTTTAGACCTCCGCAAATGAATAAAACCCCGCTTAATGGCAGGCATTTAATTTATTATTCAATTGAAACTATCCACTAAACATTCTCTGTAGGGCAACAATGCAAGGAAAAGCTGCCCCTACAGCCTCCAAAAATGATCTATTTCTTCGGGCTGCGCCACACAGCCCGGCATGCTTACTGTTAGCCACCAGACCTCTTGGACAAGCACTGGTTGGCGGGCCTTCTTTGAACATTGCGCGTCCCAACACGTTTCCGGTGGGGCCATAATTACACGCCATCATACATTCTTTCCGGCCACTTTCCAGGTCTTTTTCAAATGCAGCGCACCCAATGTGGGTGACCTTAGACCAAATCAGTTGGGTAAAATGTCCCGTTCCCGATTGAAATTGAAAGCTTTTGCCCCAAGAATGTAGCTGGTCGGCGCTGAGTTCCCTCACTTCGTTATACCTACAAATGTTCAGTCTCACAACTTGCAAAATCCGTACCTATAAAGACTAGAATCAGGTCTGATTGACGGCTCTTCGTTTGAGCACTTCAAGGTCTAACATTCTTCTACTTCATCACTTGAAGAAGTGTCTCGAGCAGCCAAACGAGCCGATTTTGTCATGCAATTGTTACCAGCTTTTAGGCCTGGGTAACTCAGTGAATTTTTAGGAGCTGGCGCAGTGCTGCGCAAGTTTCTTGGTGCGCCAACCCAACGCAGCGGCGCAGAACTCAGTTCTGTTGCTGGGAGAATGTAGATGACTTTTTCCTATTTTTTTAGGTTAAAATTTGAAAGGCCATTTATCAACAATATTTTTAGAATGTCTTCAAATTTCAAAATTTTCCAGTTTTAGCCAAGTTACTCTTTCTTCTAAATGCTCAATTTTCTAAAGTTCCACTTAAAAATGCGGACAATCTTAAGGTAGTTATCGAGAAAAATTATGAAATAAATTTCGAATTCTTCGCAGTTCTGTAAAAACTTTTGAAATCCCTTTCTAGCTTCGAATTTGGAACAAAAATCAAACAATTTTCTATCGAAAAACGAACCGATTAAGCGAAAGTTTAGAACAGAATATTTGGAAATCTCGTCACCAATATTCCTCTGAAGACTGTGGAATTTGTTAAAAAATGTAGATTTTTAGTTTTGACTGATTTTTTTTTGCTTTACTTTCTACTCAAAAACGCTCTATTTTGTAGAGTTTCACTTAAAAATACTGACGATCTGGAGGACTTTTCCGCGAAAAATTACAAGATAAATTTACAGTTTTGTAAAAAATTTACATAAACCTTTTTTAGTGTCGAATTCGGGACACAAACGAAAATAAATCCCTACCGTGCTATCCCGAAAACCATTAAGGTTTTCTCCAAAACCGATCACAAAACTAAAAGTTTTTATTATTAAAAGCATTATTTTCTGATGATTTTGTTCCTTTTTGACAATAATGCGGTGTTTTCAGTCAAAAATGACAAAATCAATTTTGTTGGAAAATTCGCCCCATTCATCGGTTTGCAGGGAGCTTTAGAAAATCCTTTTCAGCTTCGAATTTGGCACAAAACCCAAATTATTTTGTTCAGATTTTTTACCGAAAGTAATTAGGACTATCTTAAAAAAACGGGCAGAGAGCAAAAGTTCACAAAAAAATATTGGGAAAATGCGGCGGCCTCATCGCTATAAAGTTTTCAAAAGTTTCTTTAAATTTTCAAGTCATTCCAATTTTAACAAAGTTTCTATTAAGCATTTCTACGCAAAAAAACGCATTATTTTTTAGTTTTACTTAAAATACTGGCAATATGCAGGTATTTTCTGTGAAAAAATATAAGATACATTTTATTGGAACACTCGCCTCCTTAACCGGTTTGCAAAAATGTTTGGAAAACTTTCTGCAGCTTCAAATTATGGACAAAACCCTAATAATTATTTCTAGGTCTTTTTCCAAAAATATTTCCCCAAGGTCAAAAAGCGAAAGTTTACAATCATTTATTTGTAAAACTCTTGGAAACTTTTAGTTTCACTTTAAGGTCAATCTTTCTAAACAATACTGTCTCTGAACAGAAAAACCGCGTCTTTCCTAACGTTTTGCTGTAAAATACTGGCAAACTGAATATTTTATGCAATAAAATTAAGCGATCGATATTACAAGAAAACTCGTCGACTTTCTTTAAGACTCAGTTCTGTTGCTGGGAAAATCTAGATGACTTTTTTTGTTGTTGGAACAAAGCAGTAAAACGTTGCTCAGAAAAAATGTCAAGAACCCTTTTTAAATGTGAAAATTCCAGTCTCGGGCCTCGTGAAGCTTTAACAAACGTATTTTAACTCATTAACCGATGAGTTAGAACCCGTTAACTCAGAGAGCGGTAACAACTCAATAGCGCAACTCAACAGAGTGTTACCCAACCCTACCAGTTATGCACCATCTTCAGCGACTGTTCGCTACAATCCGTAACTCCTGCGGCCCATGCTAAATTCTGGCCGGAGGTCATGAAATTTGGTGTAATGTGGCACGTATCGTGTTCCATAGATGACGGGCACGTTTTCAAGTTGCAACTTGCAGTGAAAGCCAAATCGTCATCCCATTCAACTACCATCATGTCGGCGACTTGCAAACCTTTCGCTTGAGGCTCATTTCCTGTGGCGAACAAGTTCCTAACAACGTCACTTAGAAATCATCCGGAATGAAAATGCAATGATTAGCCACCTCAGCTGATTGTGAAGATCCAAAAGTCTCGCTTTGTCCAATTTCAGAAACTGACAAGGTGCTGCAATGGTTAAACAGTCTCCTTTCAAGGTGCAAGCAATGTTCGGACCTTTGGGGCAGTTTAAGGCGCACCAGTCGATCGCTTTCAAGCTTCTGCTTTTAAAAGTGTTGTTGAAAGGCTGCTGAAGTAAATTGGCACCGCTGATTGTTGCAATTCTCCAGTTCAGCCACGTCAGGCCCATTAGGTACAAACTAACCGAATTTTTCATAATGCCGCTTAAGAGTTTTCCGGGATTGGTGCTTAGAAAATTGTCAGGATGACTGACATCAATATTTTACCGGTAGCAGAGTGAAAATATATGCAAGTGATCGATGTAGCATTAATAATGATTTGACGAAGTAACTTAATGAAAAGTCCCATAATCGTCCGCAAAATCCACGTTTGAAACGCTTGGAAGCTAAATCTTTCCAACAATGGAAAAATATCCTTAAAGCGAATGAAAGGAAAGCATTACCTAGTATCAGCTTAAATTAGTTTTAAGGAAGATAAGAGTAGCTTTTGTCACTGCTTTAGAACGAGCTGACATTTTATTACCCAAATGGCCTTCTTAAGAGCGAACTTTTTAGATTTCCAGGAGTTTTATTCATTAGGACCCGAAGGTAATTCGTGAGTAACTGGATAATTTATTTCAGTCCGTTTTAGCCGGATAAAGTGGATTATGAATGCTTATGCAGTTTGGAAAAAATGCTCCAATTCAATTTAGATTCAAGCATTACTGAAAGAGCACAGAAGATGAAGACTAATTGACAAAGAGCGAGATTCTATATATAAAAGAATAATAAAATTCGAGTGTAAAACACATCTTCCACATTTTCCAAAAAAGCTAATTCAATGATATAAATTCAGTTTCCCGCTTAGTGTCTTCGACCCTGCCGTAAATGTTTCATCCCTCCAAAGCCCCCCGATTTTCCCTTTAAACGGTTTAACTAAAACATAAGCGACCGCGACCACTTTTAAATCGAGAGGAATCCTCTTTTCTGTCCCATCACCACTCGTTTTAATGCGATTTTAGTGGCAAATAAAAAAAATTTAGCGGAAGAATTCAGAGTAATTCCCTGCAGTATTGCTGAATTGCATTTAAACTATGTGGCTTCATCAGTGGAATTATTGCCTGAAAAGTTTGTGTGGTCAATATTGTCCATTTTCATTGTGCCTCTTCTAAATGGTATAAATAATTGTTCAAAAAATTTATTTAGCTTGGCTGCTAGAGAATTCAGTTCGAATGATGAATAAAGTTAGTTAGTTATGGCTGAGGTATTAGTTACACGTACAAGATGCGATGAAAACTCATGTGAAGTGAAACTAGGCAGTTTTAGCCTAGTCAGAGCAAAGTACAAATAATTCAAGGGAGGGCAAAGGAAATAAAGTAGAGCGCAGGTTCAGGTGAGTCAGTCAACACCCCCTACCTAAATGGTAAAATACAACCCTCTCAATAAATCCCGAAAAGTAATTAGATTAATTCAGGCAGGGCCGAATAAATAGCAATTATAACTTTTATTTTCCATTAAAGTTTTGCAGATTTTCGGGCCTGTTGTTCCTGCCCTTTTTCTAATAAGGGTCGTTAATCCTAAGATAAGGGCCCGAATTCGGCATTAGCGGGATGCGCCGCGGGAATTATTAATTCCCTTTAAATGGAAGCCGATAAAATTACGCCTCGACCGTCCTGTTCAACTAACACCGGCATTAAATCTATACAAGATCCGGTTTAAAGTCAATTTCGGGGTGTTAAGAATCGAACGGATGTACCCGAAATAAATCATACTGCAAAATATGTACGGAATTATTATTCTCCATCCGCTATTCGAACGGCTTCTTGATCCTAAAACAAAATTTCCTTTGGACACAATTTGGATACCTTCCAAAGCATTAAAACAGTTGGTTTGTTCACTGTTAGTATCTGATAAATTCCAATTCAGATGATGCAAATTTTCAGTCACAATGTATTTTTAACACGCTTGATTTAACAACCTTTAAAGCTGCTCAATAAGGGCTGTAATTCTTGTTAAGGTCCTTAGAACAGCCCCTCTAGCCGCTGTTCTCGCATTATAGTCAATTTCCTTTAATGCTGATAAATATCCAGTTAATAATTTATCCAGAGGTATCCACTATCGGCTCTCAACACCAAAAATAATTGGCTTCGGACTCTATTCTCTGATTCGTCGGAGTTCTCCATTCAGCAGGATAATCCCCAGCCTCTGTTATCAGGATCTGCTGCTGGTAAAATTAATAATTCGTAGCTGTTATCTTGTTAAATCCGTATTAGGATGTTGTCTCAAATCGGCGTTATCATTCGCATTAGCAGGCAATTTTCGCCATGGTCACATTGGCCATATTATATATAAAGAAAAGGAAAATGTAGGAACACTGAAGGAAGTGGAGTTGTTCCATTGGCCCCTCTAAAGGGCCATAAAGATTAATTAGTCGGATATTTTAAAATCCAAAAACGATGGCCAAATTTCCCACAAGGCACTGGAATTCAGTTTTCTCTATACTAAGTATTTAGCGAATTACAGAGATTTTTTCAATTAAATATTGGTTTCGATCGAAAGTAAGTTTCCTGAGTTCGAGCAAAAATACGATTTTTTCCCTCGTGTTGAAAGTGAAATCGTCTTTTTTATCCCCGTAGTCTTATTTGCTTCTACTTTGTCTAGTCTTTGTTTTTACTTTAAAAGCATTATATTTTCAGTTTTTCTTTGAAACTACGTGATTCACTTTCTGCCTCAAACTCTTCGCTGCTTAAGTCAATTGCAACACTGGAAATTCTCATTTTTGTCTCAAAGTTGAAGCAACTCTGAACGAATTCTTTTAGTTGAAGAAGCGATTTAAATTTTCTTCTCCGATATGTGGGTTACGTTTTTGCAATCACGTTTTGTTTATTGTTTGGAATATTTATTAAATTAAACTTCCCTTTGGCTTTGAATTATTTCTCTTCTTTCTTCTGAGTTTCCTAGTTTTTTTTTAATTTAGCTTCATAACAATTTTCATTAAAATTTCTTAATTAAGAAAAACGTGTAGGTACGCTGAAGGCAGTGGAGTCTTTCATTGGCGTCCAATGAAGGGCAGGATCGAATCGCATATCTCAAAAAATTTAAACTATAAAAACACTATAAGCATCGCACTGTTTAGAAAAGTTCAATGGGCATAAAACAGTTCGTATTCAGTTTTCTTCTAAACTGAATATTAAGCTAGTTACGGACGCCTTTTCTCGATCTAAATTGTACTAAGTTTCCTCAACTGGGGCTCAAATGGGAATTTTTTTCCTCGTTTACCAGAYKGAWRAGTWSAAAWAATCTTTCGATTGAAAKTTTGTTTTCTTTATTCCTTGTAGTKTTTTTTRYGTCTATCTTATCTACTTTAAAAGCATTACACTTTTTGTTCTTCTTTGAAACTGCGTGGGTTTTTTTTGCCAAAAACCTTCGCTTCATACATCATTCACTACCAGAAAATCTAAAAGAATTTCTTTGGTTGTGGAAGTAACTTACATTCGCCTCGCTGAAATGTGGGGTACATTTTTGTAATTCACGTTTTGTTTGTTCTTTCGTATATTTAGTCAATTAAACTTCTTTTTGATTGTTTGACTCGTTTTTGATGCTGTTTTGATTCAGCTACTTTCTTCTATAGTTGCGCTGTTTAGTTTCATAATTGTTTTCATTGATATTTCTTGATTTCTATCAAATTGTTTTTATTGTATTTGGTTCAAGAGAAAAATAAAATAGGTCAGACAGAAAACCATTGAATAACTCGGAAGTTCTATATATCAACGAAAAAAAAGTCTTCCTGCTTAACTCAACACTAATTTCACTTTGTCTCCCTTTGTAACTCAATATTTGTTTGATTTGTAATTTTTTGCTAAACTTTAATATTTTCAATGAAAATTTGTACTTGCCTAGGGCTCGCCTCCTACAAACCTCTAAATTTTTAAAAATTAATATCTCGCAAACGGTTAAAAATAACCAAATAACCCTAAGAACTGTTTTAAAACAGCATGTCAATAGCTATCTTTGGGAATAAACCGGGTTGACTTTTGTCCCTTAATAAAATCGCAAAGCCTCCAACAACTGGCACTTCTTTCCAATTTTTAACCTGTTTTTAGTTTAGTTTCACTAAGCTTTCAAATGGAAGAGTTTTAATTAGAAAACAAAATATAGCTATAGAAACAAAGAATGTAAGAGTAAAAAAAGTACTTGAAACTAGTTGATAAAATCTGAAAGGCGTAAAATCGCCATTTAAACTTTAGCCCAAGATTTTGTAGACAAACTTGGACCATAACGGATTAATTTAACTCGGCTTCGCTCATGAAACAATGCAAAAGTCCATCTATTTCTGCAATAAACTAGACAACAAACTAATCCCGGATAAGCTTTATCTATTAATGTTTTCCAGGACACGGACTTTCCTTTCGTTAAAACAATTTACATGTAACTCCAAATTGAATTTGGCGATATTTAGAGTAAGGGCGGGAAGTTAAGGGATTGTTTTTTAATCGCATTACTCGCTTTCACGCTTTGACCGGCTGCTAGATTCGAAAGTTGACTGTGATCGGAATGGACCCTGTTAAACTTTCCCAAGTCCCAATCGAAATTATTAAGTAGCTTAGAACTGAGCGASTCTCTGGGAAATATTGTTTTATAGCAGACAAAGTGGCGTCTTGGATTTACGCTCTAAAAGGGTTTGCCTAACCGTGTAAGCGAACTTTTGTTCAAAAATGTTTTAAMATCGGAATAATTTTTCAAATCTATTTGGGTCAGGTTGTCCACCATTTTAGAGCCTCAAGAAATTCAAGAGTTTTTCTTGATACTTTCGCCCTTCTTGGCATGATAAAATATTCTCGAATATTTTCCTGGTAATTATGCTCTTAATAATATTACAAAACAAAAGGCATTCTACCCATTTTGCCTACTTATCATTGTAATCTTTATGTGAAAAGTTGCGCTGTTCAAATTCATGATATATCGTCATTTAAGTTTTATCTAGACATTCTATCTGATCCTCCTTATATCATTCCTGCGCCATTATTTATCGCTTATTTCTGTCAGATTAAAGATAAATGTGTCTGCAGAAATAGAAAGTTAACAAGTTAAACCTTACATAGATTTAGCTGTACCGATTCGTTTTAAAATGTAAAACTGCTGATAAAAATGATAAACTGATAAAAACTGAAATCTCAAAGTGATACTGTTTAAACCGTTATGATGCTTACTTGTACACCCTTTTAAAATACATTTTATCTTATATACATTCGTACACATAATCTGCCCGTACCTAAGGGAAATTATGGCAAAGTGTTTACTTTTAACTCCCGCCCGTTGGAGTTCTTTACTTTTGTTTGGCTTCCCAGTTGGAGAGTTTCAAAGACACTCTATTTTACCGGGGATTGTAGCTGGAAGCCATTGTGTTGAAGGGGCTCGAATGTTATTTTTATTTAAACTATATTTAGTATTCTTTTGAAGCCCTGCTTGGCCAATTGTAAGTAGCTGCTGTAAAAGGTTGCCTGGAGCTGGATTTCTCCTTAATAATCGACTTTATTGCCAATTGTATAAGAAAAATTACTTTTTGCGAAGTTTTTGTGCGCCCTAATCCAGCTTTGAAACCTCGAAAAACGTTAAATGTTTGCATAGTTTTGGTTAAACTAGTTGCTTTAACTGACCGAAACTTGAATGGAAACTGTGTTACAGATAGAAAACAACAAAAAGTGAAAATTTCATTTATTTAGCAATTTCGTTTTTATTACTCGGGCAAAAAGCGCAATATTTCCACTGGCACCATGACACATGGCGGTATAATTTCTATCGTAGCGCCCTTTTACTTCTTTTAAGCCTGTTATTAAAAAGTTGGGAAGATATATGTTGCCAGTGTTTCGCTGGTTAATACAACGTTTAATAGTTTTATTACATTCCGATGTCGATCGAGCGGATTCCTTCCAGAAATTAATTGAAGGATTGTTCTATAAACTCCAATCATTTATCTAACTAACAACGCAAATCTTGCACTATTTTGTAAATTATGTTCTTGAACGAATGTTTCATTTATTTAGTGTCAATATTTATTGATTTTATACATTGATATTTTATTAATTTGTATAGAAAAAAAATCAAACGATAACAAATTCCGTATAACATCCAAGCTGTGCCCTTAAGTTGGCCTCTTTTGAAATACATTTTATATTATCAGTTTTCGTATGACTCTGTTAAGGCTAAAATCGCTTTCCTGAGCAGCGCATTTTTTTAAACCATTGAATATCGGAGGAATCAATTCCATATCGATGATGGTTCGGATTAGATGAAAATTGAAATAGGGAAAACTTTCTAAAATTTATATACAAATTTATAATTTATGTTTAAATATTTTTCAAATAAAACACTTCTATTTCATCCACAACTATCTAGAAGCGACTGATGGCAGTTGGATGGCAACTATTATTAGCAAATTAATAATGCTTGAGTTTTTTTTTCATTCAGCTTGTTTTCACATTTAATTCATTAAATTTGAAATAACACTCCCGAAACCTGCATCTTATTAATCCCATGTATTCCCGCCGATGTTAAACACATAGGCGAAATAAAGTGCAGATTTAGGGAGTGTTATTTTCAGGCTAAGCCCACCTGATGATAGCTAATACGTCCAAAACAGTCTCATAAAAAACCCCAGGAGAATTTACGTTGTTCCTGACTCGTGCAGTTCTTCATTCGCTAGATAGATGCCGCACTTCGTGAACCACTTTGGCAAATAGACGTCAACTATGACAGTACATCAGTATTAAAACTGCTATGTTCACGTTTGTTATTTTTCTAATTAGCATCTATTCAAATGGCAAATGTGGCAAATAATCATAATTTTTGCTGTATTTGCCTAGAAGAAAACGAGGAATTTGAAAACATAACTGAGTATGACCCGAATGGCGTAAAATACAGCGAAAAACTCGCTCTATGTGACCCTACACAAGTAACTTCGAGTGTACCTGTACATATACATTGTTTATTAAATTATTTGTTTCTTTTTTGTAGAATTGGGAAGATAAAACGTTAAGCCTGTGCAAGAACTGCGTTCACAAAGTCAATATTGTCTATGAATTCATTGAGGAGTGTAGAAAAAGCGATGTTTTGCGTAGGGCAAAGCTGCAACACCTGAAAGAGGAACTTGAGGAAAAGAAGGTGGAATTGGAGACTTTTACATGCTATGCCTGCAAAAAGTCGTTTAAAAAGAAAAGGTTTTTAAAAGCTCACATTACACGAATTCATGTGACCATTGAAGACAAAAGCACCAGAGGTAAGGCTTTTAATGAAACCTGACTAATTAAGGTAACTCTAAACCCACAAACCTACTTTAGAGCTGTTTTAATAACCTATTATTCTGATTTCAGATAAAACCACTAAAGATGCTGAGCCAGAAAGTAGTGAAGAATCGCAATTAAACGCTGGGGACCAGGACGACACAAAAGAAAATATTAAAACAGAATCATTACCAAGTAATTACCAGGAGCGCGACTATTTTTCACAAAACGATGCTTCATATTCGAGTGGAGAAGAATTGGAAAAGCCGAAAGTGAAAAAACCTACACGGAAACGACTGAAAAAAGCTGAATCCTTCACCTGTGAATATTGTGGCAAACAATTCAACCGACACCAACACTGGTCTGCTCACATAAGATCAAAGCACACCTTTGAAAAGCCGTATAAATGTACATTATGTGAAGCTAGTTTCACGACTTCACACAGTCTCCTAGTTCACAAAAGAAATCACAATAATGAGAAACCGTACATATGCAGTACGTGCGGCAAAAGATTTGTCTGTTCCGGCGATTTGTTTCATCACAACAAAATTCACCTGAACAAAAAAGAGTATGAATGCACCATTTGCCAAAAACGGTTCAACACAACCAGTATATTAAGAACCCACAAAATAGTCAAACACACTGAACCGCAGGACTGGAAATATTTATGTTTGCTGTGCAACAGAAGGTTCCCGATCAACAGTGGACTAACGTTGCATTTGAAGAGACACAGTGGAATTAAAGACCACGCGTGCCACATTTGCGGCAAGAAGTTTTTCAACAAGTCCGAAGTTTCCAAACACATCCTTAGTCATTCCAACCAGAAGAACTTCAGATGCGGCTTATGCGAAGACAAAGAGTACAAAAACAAAGAGGGCCTTAATAAGCATCTGAAAATAATCCACGATCTGGGCAACTGGAAGGCGCCGAAGTTGGAAAAGAAATTTTTCTGCATGCTTTGTCCGAAAAAGTTCACTTTCAATAACAAACTGCAGCGCCACATACTTACACACACCGGCGAAAAGCCCTACAAGTGCGACTTTTGCGATAAGAAATTTAGCGATATTTACTACAGGAAGAGTCACATGAGGAAAGAACATGGAGAGCAAGTGGAAGAGGATGGAGGCAATGATGTGAAATTTGTGGAATTAATAGCAGCACCTTCGGAATCAGCGCAACATGGTTTTAACCTTGTAATTAAGTAGATATTTAAATTTGTACATTTGCCATAATATGCTGAACATTTTTTGCAAATGTATAAATGTTTTATTTTGAAATCACACCCAGATGGTGGTTTTGCAGAAAATCTGACTGGTCGCAACGCAAAAGATTCTAAGCGATTAATTTAGATGAAGAAAAACTCAGAGTGATCAACTTTCATACTTTTCATGATATTAGGATATAATTATTTGCGCCCAAAATGTACATCTAAAAGATGTGTTTTCTATGTACGCTACAAAGATGTATCCAAAGGGAGCGCGTGTTTAGAATTAACTAAACTGATTGTTTCCAACTGAACATGTTTGTAAATTCTATAAATAATTACAAAAATATGAAGCGTGATGAGTACGTTTCCTGTGTGTTACATGATTAGTTTTTAATCAAACTTTGTCGTTACAGTAAAATTAAACCAAAAGACCCGAGCGTATTTCCTGGATTTTAAATTCCTAATATTTAAATTATTTTTATTGGAACGAATTATATGTTGAGACATTCTGCAATTTCTTCGTTGCAATTAAAAGTACATTCGCCAATGTCAAGAAATTCGAATAAGCTCTAAATTTTTCACTGAAAACTTGCAATATAAAAAACCGGTTTCGGTCAAAGTTTCACGCTAAAAACAACTTACATTGGGGTTCCAAAAAGTACAACTGGAACAAAAAAAAATTAAAACGGAGCATTTCAGCAGCATTCTTACTCACTTCTAGTGGTATTATAATGGCGAATGCGACATTTTGACCGTTAATGCAAAATAGCAAATAAAACAGCAATTTTCACACAAAAAAATAATAAGGAATGGCGAGGGCAATTAGAAAAGAAATAGACTGAATAATACTTAAAAAATATATTGCACCAAATTAGATTACAGCGTAAATTACATGGAGGACAAAAAGTGAGCTACCAGACTCTTCAGAAATCAACAATCAAAAAAATCTAGATTAAAAAAATAAAACAATTAAGTAGATTTAATTGAATTTCTACATAAATGACAACAAAATGTATGTTGAATTAGACACATTAAAAAAACTGTTTCCGTTTCAATTCTTGCTGTTTCGATCTTAATTCTAATTTAACCAAATAAGCAACATTTAAAAATACTCTTGTAAATTTTTCTTGATATCGGCAGCATTTATCACATTGTGAATATGGCAAGCAATGGTTCTTTTGCATAAAAGCACTCGAATCACATTAATTCAGGAATAATATCCCCTTTGGTTAAGAGCAACTTGGCTAATTGAGCATCGTTTCCGTAAAACTTGTTCATTCGATTTCGATCCTTCTCAAAGTGATATAAAATTTTCAAATTCATTTCCGTCGCCCTCATACAGTGCACATCGCGCCCATGTTGCAAGAACATATCGAAAATGTTTCCTTTCTTCTTCGTCTCGCTTTTCAGCAGCTTTGTTATATCGTTGTCCGTTCTGATTAGGGGAATTTCACTTTCGGTTTCCTTGCGTGCTGAAAGTATCAAAGAATTCTTCCTTAAAATACATTTGAAGATGCATAATATTGTTTATTATAAGCGTATATTATCTGGGCCCTAAAGTGCAGCTGCACCACCAACTCATAAATTTTCTGTTGATGCCGCCGTAAAAGCGTCACTTTTGTTCCTTATTAACTTATTTACTTTTACGTAAAGCGCCGCTTTGTTAAACATTCGCGTTTTACCCGTTAGATACTTTGATTAGTGTAACTAATAATGCAAAAAGTATACATACCTTTTACATAATCACTACCATAAAACGCAACATATCGAAATTCCTCCCTATCAAAGTGTCCCGACATTTTGGTCACTTCCAAGTGCGCCAATTGAGTTACAAAAGGACTGTACTGCCTGAATGGAATTGGGCAAAAAATCTGATAGTCTTCTATGGTGTTCATTCGTACCTACAACACGCCAACACTTAAATTCGAACTGTTTAGGCCATATTTGCTTACCCTGTTGAGGAAATCCACAGTAACGTAGGCCCAAACATCTAAAACCAAAGTTAAACTGTGAAGCCCAATTTTCTTCAAAGCCAAATCAGTCACAGCAAAGTGAATGGCTTTATTGTTTTCCATCAACAAGGGAAATTTCGCTTGTGGAAGTCTGATTGATAGCCAAGATATTTTCAAGTCTTCGTTTTCATACTTTGCTGACGCCTGAATTACGAATCGCTTTAGTTTCGCAAAAACATCTTGAGATCCTACAAACGACTCGTTGAAAAAACTAAAAGAGTTTTATTTCATGGACACCGACCTTTACTCTCGCTATTGTACTGGTAGAGGAGTACCAGAAGCAGAAGAGTTTTCTCTTTTTTAGCCAGAACGGATGTGTCAAAAGCTTCTAAAAAATGCATCGCTTGGAAAACCTCAGTTTCCTGAACGGGCAAAATAATTGAAACGCGAGCATTTTCCGTCACATAAGGCACTGGAATGAACTCGACGTTGCCTAGCGGTTTGCATACTTCAAATCTGCAAGAATACTCATTGAAAGCCGCGCAGTGAGGCAAGTTGCGGTACTGGACAACCTTTTAACTATTTCTTTGCCGCTATGCAAATCCCTGAATCCTAAATCAAGAGTGTAATCCAAGCCGCGGCTTAAATCAAACGTTTTGTATCCATTCACCAACCTCCGAAACTCGTATTCTTTTGGGTGTTGCGCCGCCACTTGCGAAGTTACATCTTTTAGTATATTCTATCCAAAAATACATACACAATTAACTATACAATCAACATGCAGTTTACTTGACCAATTACCTGGATATCGACAAGTTCCGATTCAGTGTGACTACGGAGAATGGTAAAATCATCTGGCAGGAAAATGTGGGTCATATTAAAGTATTGTTGTCGGGGCATGTCGAATCTGGTAGCCGGCACCGCTCCTGGTCTTTGTCCAGCAGGCCAGGAATCGGTTAAAGATTTGGAAATTTCAGAAATTTGCCTGTTGTACATTTCCAGACGTTGCTACAAAAGATCAATTCAAACATCCTCACTATACATAAAAAGTACTAACACATACCTTGAGAAAATACGCGTTCAGTCTGAAGAAATCATCGTTTGCAATCACTGGACGAACTGTTACCGCCACATTAAAACCTGCATTTTTGCTTAACGTTTGCAACGACTTCAGATTGAATTCTTTGAGTTTAAAGGACGGCATCGTCTGATCCTGAAGAGTCTCAATGCATCATCAGTTCGCTTAATATTAAGTGCACCAACCTGTACAGATTCTTGACAAGACAAATTTAAGCTATGATGAATGCAACGACCGATGTTTTCACTGTAATCATCAGACACCGCATTCATTATGCACCATTCCAAATATTTTCTGGCTGCTCTTAGGACTGAGTTGCTTATAACAATTCCAGCCTCTAGAATAGAATAGTAAGTATGAAAAAAAAATTAGTTTGTCTGTGCTAAACGGGAAGGAAATTGTTTACCTAAATTACAGTAGCTACTACCCATAACTTTTGTGCCCAAATACACATCCATACTGACACTGATTTTATCCACGACATCTTGCAGTCTATGTACATTGATAAAAGTATAGTCATTGGCAAAGAAATAATAGTCATAGTCCATTGAAAAAGTGTCTGCCACATATTTAATCACTTGGAAGGGCCTATATTTACTTCTGGCATCTGTAAATCCCACTAAACCTGAAAGAATCAACCGCGCTCATTAAATGCTTGTTAACAGATGGACTAAATGCTACCTGTAAGATTGAACTTGGTTTTGAGCTTGTACTGGGCTGTAATAAAGAACTTGATCTTATCAACAATATGTCCAATGGTTTTATTGATATGAACTGCATGCGAATTGACTTTGTTTTCTGACGTGAAAATTCCCACAAACAGTTTCTCGCGAATTCCCAATTCTGTTGAGTAATAACGGGGCCGTACAAATGTGGACTTTTGTTCCCCTTGAGGCTTTTCAGGTAGAATCTTCGGGGCCAGCCTATTGATCGAACTGTTGATGATTTCTTGCGCCAATCGTTTATCCACTCTCAGGTTATTCTCTGTGGTGGTACATGATAAATCCAATCCAGCGGATATAAATGACGATATATAGAGGCCTATTACAATCCCCAGCAGGAGATAAATGTGCTCACTGATAAATTTTTTGGTAATTTTTCGCATTTTGTCACAGCACCCGAATAAATACCTCACTGAGTTAATATCACTAGCATTACGTTACGGAGGCTGTAAAATGGCTAAAACCTCACTAAAACACTGTAAACACTTAAAAATAAATAAAATATTTAAAAGTAAAATCGTCTGACATGACAACATTCAACTTTTTGGGTTAAGATTTGAGGTTTTATTGTGCAATTAGTTGGCAACAGATGGCGGGCCCAATGTAAAAAGTTGGCACGCAGCCGGCAAGACCAAATACAGGGTGTCGCATGTTTAAGCGACATAAATACAGGGTGTTTTATTTTATATACAGTAGTAGATTTTTTGGGGTTGGCTGGAATTATTTTGCTCCCAATTTCTACGCCAGTGCGGAAAATAAGAATTTGAAAGCAATTTTTCAGCAGAAAATAGCCACTTAAGCAAAAAACACTGACATTCTCCGTTTTAGAACAATGTTGTATTTTTAAGTTATGTGAATGTTTTAAAGTGCAATTTCTCTCTAAAACGGCGGAAATTATGAGCAAAATAATGTGAAAAAATGTGATTTAATGTTCATAAAGTGGCTATAAGTATTGGAAAATAGTGTACAAAAGTTTAGCAATTTATCTTTAACTAATCCTTAAATATAGTTGGAACTTCCAAACTCTTAAACACCCTGTATTTCAATAACGTGCCACTTCAGCTTTGTGGTCAGCCAGTACATTGGAATTTACTGTTTTCAGTAGTAATGTAGTAATGTAATTTTAAATACCATATTTATAGAAATATGCGATTATTAACCACTGCTTACTTATGAAATGTTAAGTTTTGAATTTTCAATTAATTTATTTGCATTTAAACGTGCGCATTTTATTAATGGCTTTTCTTAGATCTAAAATGTAATTATTTAAATTCAAATTGCGTTTAAATGGTCGTTTTATGAAGGGAATCAAAGATCATAATAAGTAGATATCAAAAAAACTGCCAAACCAAAACATTTTAAAAATCAGTCAATTAATTCGATCAAAAAGCTGAAAATAAACATAAAACTGTCCCATTATCGCATTTATCATCTAATCATCAAAAACGATTGTTTTCGACACCATTAACTAACCTTCACAATTTTTTCAGTTATGTAGGTTCTAATTAATTCACACGAACAGTGATTATTAGGCAGGTAAATACGTTTTAATAACTGTAAATAAATATAGTTAAATTAGTTCAAGATCGCTTAAAAACATTCGAAAGCTAACAGGGTTGTATAATTTTTATATAAAAAATTTCTCGCTAAACTTTCTTTATTTAGTGGAATTGTTGTAATTTTTTCGGTCTGCAAACAGTGCAATACTTTGAATAAAACCCGCATTTGCTATAACAAACTTTACCTGAAAAAGTTTTTCGCATGACGCCTTCGAATAGCCAAAGCAGTGTTTCGCATTTTAATTAAATTCCAATTAATGTCCAATGTTCAACTTAGATGCAGTTTTATTTATATGTTTGCCTCTAAGAAAAGTTAAACAGTGTTATAAAACCGCAGTAAAGTGCTAATTTTTACAGTGTCAACATGGGCTTTATACATTGGCCTGTTCTATTTCAATTTTACTTTGTCCTTGTTTCTTCTTTGCATTTGCGTAAGTAGATTTTTGGGAAATTTGGTTTTTTCAAAAAATTATGAGATTTGTTGATTTTCAATGTTTGTTCTGTCCTTAATGTTTGAAATATTTTCTAATCTTTATAAGAAAATTATTAACGTTTCATTTAGCCTCCAACTTATAATGGCCGGAATCAGCAGAAAAATTGATTTAGTTAATTTACACTATTCCCACAACAAATAATAATTGCTACGACTAAGGTTGGGAGAAAATCATCGATGTTTCGCAAACATCGATGTACTTAATTCGTTCGATGTTTGATATTTTGCCATGGATGTTGGAAATTTGGGACAGTCGATGTTAGATCCTGAAATGAAAACATCGAACATTTGATGTTGATACTAGATAGAAACATTTTCTGCGATCTCTTTGATAGCGCCGATACAAACGATATCGCGGCAAAGCCATTTCCAGCTGCACCCCAAAAAACCCTCTTTTTGCAGTCGGTTGACCGAAAAATGTGGCAACTATAAGTTGAATTAATTTAGTCGATTATTTAATGTCATAGTAGTAGTAAAATAAAATTATTTAAGTTTAAGTTAATCAATTTGAAATTTGTATGCAACGRCAAACTATCAGACCATCGATGTTCTGCCTTCGATGTTTCCCTAACATCGATATTACCTTTGGATGTCTACATCGAKGGCTACCATCGATGTTATAGGATCGATGTCCCATCCCTAGCTACCTATATTACTCACACACTTAAATTGCAATTACATTTTACAGCATTTTATTATAAGGTCGCTTTAGAACTCGAAGTATTTCCTTATTACTATTATGATTTATTATTATTATACTATACGGACTTCAGTGATTTAAAATTACTTCAATTAAATTGTTTCATAGAAATAGACATAAATAATCGCATTTTTTATATTTCAGCGCCACAAATAACAAAATGCCGCAAAACCGACGCAATTTGCATGTCCAAAAGTATAACTGATGCGCTTCTGTTTTTCGCAAATGGTACTTTTTCAAACAGAATAATAATGCCATCAGTTTGTTTTAAAAAATAATCATTTCCAGGAAGTGAAGAATTCGGTTTTCCAAAATTCGAACCTTTCTACGTGGAATTATTGGAAATTACAGGCGATCCTGACAAATCCGCTACTCTTAGCCAGCGATACGACAACGTTTTTATGCATGGAATGACCGATACTCAAGTTAAGCATTTTCGGTATATTATTTCTGAGTTCGGTAAAGAACGCATAATTCAACAGTATTTTTTTAGTCTACAAGATGATGAACAAACGTGTAAGTGGGAAATCGATACGTACACCCCTATAACCCGAATGAATGCCGACTATTCTTTAAGCGGCCAGATTCTCGTTTTCCCCATCAATGGGCACGGAAAATGTAACGTAACGATGAGTGCGTATTTTCAATCATTTGTTATATCGAGTGAAATTTGATACATCAATTGTGTTTAAGATGGTATAAAAAACAAGCAGAAGGCTGAATGTGAACATTATACAAGGAAAGGAAAAACTTATCTAAGATTCACGTCATGAATATGAGTGTGGAAAGTTGCCAGTTTGATTTTCCGAACATCATTCCAGGAAATGAGCAAATTTCTAGAGAAGTTGAAAAAACAGTGAACGAAAACGCGTTGGAGATTTTTAAGGAAGTCAAAGGGGGCTTTGAGCAGGTGTTTTCCAAGCTGTATAAAAACACTGCAAATTCCTTGTTTTCTAAAATTCCCGAAGACGAGCTGTTTTTACCATAAATTAGACCTACATCTTATTAACTGGTGACTAAAAGAACAAAATAAATATCTTACTTATCCACTAAATGTTTTCATTATTGAATAGGTGCTGCAATAAAGCTGCAAAAGTTAAAATTAACTTGTATCTGGCGTGTAAACATGCACTTGACACACTTTCCATAAAACAGTCAAGGATACATCTGAATCGCCCAGATAATTCGCTGATTAATGGCTTCATACTAACCGTGAATAAGGGCAATTTTGGGATTTATATTTTACAAAGCAATTTCATTATAAACACTAATCAAATCTCACCTTAAAACTCAAAATGCGATTTGGAGTTAATGAATGATAGCGGCAAGTACAGGGCAGCCCAAATATATTTTGCCCCTGTGACGAAAATTGAGCATAAAGCGAATTATTTTAAGATTTGTGTTTAGGGAGTTTTTGGCATATTTTGCAAAATTTTCCGGCTATAGACACTGACACGAAAATATTAATGAAAGTGTTTAAGCATCCATATTTTTGAGCCGCTTGTAACAAACACAAACATTAATGTTAATGCAATAAGTGGATATAATTTAATAAAATTATCGACTCGCATAATAAAGCCGAAACTAAGTACTTTGTTGTGCGGGTAAAAAACCCATAAGTGACCATCATAGGAAATTAATTATTATCCTCGGATAAGTACATATATATCATTTAACAACAGCGTGTTCAATACTAGAATATGGCGTTTTGTGCAACAAAAATGTGTATCAAAACTATTATCTTCGTCGCTGTGTTTGGTAAGTTTTTGGTAACATAATACTAAGTTAGTATGACTAAGTTATTGAGTATGGGGTTTTCGCTTTAATGTGCAGAAAATTATTAAAAATAATATTAAGATTTAAAAAAATACTGATGAAGCTTTAAGGGCTGATCAAATATTTACTTAACTTAACAAATACTTCGTCGTCCCGAATAGGGCAACTTTTAGTCCAGTCATGCTCTCGGTTACCGAGAAAACCAAAGACTTCTTTAAATTGAGTAAATAATTTTGTATGAATACTTACGTTTTGAGATTTAAGTTGGCCCGAAGAAAATAAGCTGAAGCTGAAGAACCCGAAGATATTTTATTCCCAACTGCTACGATTTATGGATGAAAATTCATATCGTCTTTAAAGCTAAAAGTGACCAAGTCGAAAATTCCGAAATTGTGTTTGGTTGACCAAGCAATTTAAAAAATATGTATATTATAAATTATTAACGAGTCCCCCAAAGCCACACAAACAGGTGCGCTAAAATATGTTTTAATGACAACGTTTCCAAAAGGATTCTCATATATTTTTCGACGTGGTTTAAAAGTGCATCTACCAAAAATGTATATTTAATACTGGGTCAGTTTCAGCTTTACGCCCACGATCTGTTTGCTAACTGTAAAAAAATCCATCAAAATTTCCTCAGGTTTATCGTATGGGCAGCTCCAAACCCGCTCATATTCCTGCGTTATTCCATCGCTCTGCAGAGATGGCAGTATTATCGATCCTCGAATTCTAAATCCATCTGGAGGAGGAGCAGCATCTCCCAATCCGTTGAGTGGAGCAGGTGGAGGCGGAGGCGCCATGCCTAGTGGCGGTGGAGGAGGCGCTTTTCCTAGTGGAGGCGGTGGAGGAGGCGCTTTTCCTAATGGAGGTGGTGGAGGCGGTGGAGGAGGAGGTGCTCCTCCAAGTGGAGGTGGAGGTTCTGCACCAGGTGCGCCAACGCCTTCGGTAAGAGAAACCAAAATGTTTGTACACCGTGTGCAAGAAAGAAAGGTTATGCTAATCATACAAAGATTGAAAAAGTTTGCCTCTATTCGTGCATGGAAATTTGCATTTGTTCCCTTTTCGCAGATTGGCATAATTACTCAAGGTTCAGATTGTTCCTCTGGATACATCAGGTGTACTTTGGTTACATGTGGAACTCCCTCAACGCAGCCCAGTACTCAAGATGGAATTGCCACTCAAAACGCCTTTCCTTGGCAAGCTTTTCTCATCAATAACAACAACGTGGGTGTGAGGAACGGTTATGCTGGAGGAGGTGTTTTGCTCGATCAATACCATGTCTTGACGGCCGCTCATAAAGTAACCAACTTGTAAGTTTGCAGGAAATCCAGGAGAATTCGGCACCAATTCAGAACACATTCGCATTTTTTTCAGAACAAGTGTGAGTGTTTCGATGGGGGTTTACAGTACTGCCAACTCGGGCAACGTCCAAACGGTCCAAGTGGCTCAAGTGTGGATACACAGCAATTACGATCAGACTTACTTGAAAAACGATGTAGCGGTTCTGCGTTTGGCAACACCTTTTAATATAAATAACAATGCGATGCCAATTTGCTTACCGACGTCTGGCCGAAGCTACATAGGCGCTACTAGGTGATTAACTAATTATTCTTAGGCAAAAATATCTCTAGGCATCCACAGGACATCTGTAACTAAGCGAAATATTTTTGTGATAAGCTTAACATTTTACCAGTAACCAGATTATTTCAAAGGAAATATCGCACATAAGACCACAAGTGATTAAAAGAAAGCAGTACAGCATCTGTTTGTTGATCTCCCAAAGGCTTCTGACAACCCCTTCTAAGAACGCTAAGGGAGGCAATGAAGCCACCAATCGTCCAGGTGACCGGCGTCCAAAGCGATATTTTCACAATGGAAACGCAAACAAATATACACGATCTATACACTATACGAGGATCTGAAGCAGAAAGTTAATAAAAACCAACATGTGGGTATGAATAAAACATTAAGAAGACAGGATGCTTGTGCTTTAGGAAACAAACACACAAAAGGCATAAATTGGTCTATTAAAGAACGCGCTATGAGATGAAAACTTATATAAAGATAACGGGACTATAAAACTTATATATAGAAAGGAAACCACATGCAAAATAATGAAGAAATGAAAAGGATAATTGTGAGTAGGAATGAAAACGACACGCTCAAAGCAACACAGAAGGATTTCTGAAGAACTGCAGGTAAGTCAAGAACGAAAAGAATCACCAAGGAACAAATAAGAAAAATAATGGCGGTTAAACGAAACACAGTGGACGAAATTCAGAACCAACAACCAAATAGGTATGCACAAACTCGAATTTTGGTGATCCAAGCTGATCTTTGAGTGGAACTTGGCAGGGAAAACAAGGCCAAGAAAACAGAAATGCTGACAACAACATGCAACAAAATTGTACCAAAATTTAGAAACAACGAACATATTTCTTCACAGGGATTTAGCTGGTAGAAGCATTTTGCGGGGCCACATTGTAGTTTTGTTGCTCAGAATGATAAATTTTCAGCTCCTCCTGTATCGTTTCTGGTTGGGGCCAAACCAGCTTCAGAGTTGATGATGCCCCCACTCAAAGCCTGAAGCAGGTACATGTGCCGATTGTAACCAATGACGCCTGCACGAATTCCTACTCAAACGTTCTTGGAGCCAGTAATGCTGCAGCTTACTTAGATTTTCCCAATGAAATATGTGCTGGCGGGCAGAATCAACTGGACGCGTGCACGGTGGGGATTGTTCAATTTGGTTAAGGACACCCATTGGTAAAGTGAATATTTTTTTAGCAAGACGGAGGCTCGCCATTGGTCTGCTCAGATACGGCGCCCACTTTCAACTTGGTAGGGCTGGTACTATGGGGAAAGGACTGCGGTCAAAGCGGAAGATACGGGGTGTATCTCAATGTTCCCTCGTATGTTTCGTGGATTCAGTGCACTATTCAATGCATCCAAGGCCAGACCACTTGTAGTAACTGTCCGTCCAGGAGAATTATCTAACGTTGTTTTTTCATTAATTATTATTTATTATTACAATACTATTTAGTAATTTGTTTGTGCATGATAATTGATGACGCTTTTTAGTCTTGGTTTGTCATCAATTTTATCAAAAGTTTTGGTTGGGTCAAATTAATATTTCTTTCACTCACGAAAAATAGCCTTGCCATTAAATGGGAGCGAATTGGAATTGAAATGTTCCGGGTTAGTTTTTGAATTTAGAAATCGTCTAGATAATGACCCCTTATGATATAATATCTTCTTATTCAAGCACATGTAAGCAAGCAATCGGTTGATTCTTGGCATTAGATGCCTACCTACAGCAACCAAACTTGCTTTACATTATTGGAAATTCAGTTTAGTATGCGATTTTTTTTATTTAGCTAAACATGTCTTATATGCCATATGAATGCTGTAAATAGTATGCGTTTGTAAAATGTATGTAAAAAAATAAAAAAATATTCTAAGATAAGCGCTATCAAACATATCAACAAATTATTAATAAGACATATATTTATCAATGACTCATTC